TGAGGAACGGGTCTTAGAGCACAGTTTCTGTTTTGTACTAATGTCTTTTGTCTTAGCCCTGGGATGACTCTGGAGTTTACTCCCTTGTCACTGTCTCCTGCCTCAACAGCAAAAACAGTATCATTAGGTCTTCATTTTAGACAGAATGAAACTATGATGTCAGTCAACTTTATTTTAGACAGAATAAAATTAAGATGCCAATCAACAATTTCCATCATCTGGCTCTAACTTATATTTTCCAGCCTCATTTTTGGTTACCCCTTCACAGTAATACACTTAACTAAACTACTTGCTATCCCCAAACATCCTGCTGCACAAGCATATAGTTAAACCATTAGCTCAGTATGTATTACTACTTTCAGTCTCCATTAGTCTTGTCCTGCCTTCATGCACGCAAAACTACACCTCACGTGTGAAAGCCTCCATACTGCCTTCTGCCCAGGCTAGGCCTCTCCTTGGTGTTCCCTTTAGCTCTGGGAAATTTTCTTACAGTACTCATTTAATAATTTTTCTTCATGTTCTTTTCTGTATTCTCTCTTCCAGGAATGCTAGTTAAAGTTGGATATTTATTCTTTTGTACTCATCCTCTACTTACTATCTTTTCTGTCTTATCTAACATATATTACTTTGGTTGGGGTGGAGGATCTGTTTATCTATGTTCTGAGAGATTTTCTAACCTTTTACTTCTAACCCACTTAATTTTAACAATCATTTTTAACTTTCTAAGAGTGATTTTTAAAGATTCTTTGGTTGTTTTTGTCCTTGTTTTTATTGATGTCATATTGTCTCAACTATCTCTGAAGATAGTATTTGGATGGTATGCAAAATTTTTGTTCCCGCATTTATCTTGGCTTTTCTTCATTATGCTGCATATTTTGTGAATCTTAGTTGACCCTTTGGATGTATGAATGAGGGGTAAGAATGAGGGATAGGAATGATTTGAAATTTAATGGGTGGGAGCCAGCTCTTGGGCCAGCAGCCTCCTAATTGTTAGAATGAATAGGGGTTTGTGTGTGGGATCCAGTATTTCACCAGTTGCCCAGTTATCTCCTTCAGTCTCTTAGAGAAGGGCCCCACATTATTTGCCTTAGACTATGAATGGTCTCACCTACAACCTACAGAAAGGTATTGTATATTTTTGAGATTGGAAAGTAACTGGGTAAGATGAACTCAGAGAGAATATGCAGGTGTGGAAGACACTAGAATAGGGAGAAGACTTGAAATGTTAATGAAGAAACTGTCACACTTACCCAAGTAGGAGAAAGTTAGAACTTGAATTAGGGTGTTAATAACCCAATGAAATAGTTGGGGTGGATGAAAGAAATTATGAAGATAATAGAATGTACAAGGTTCAATAGATGGTTTGTATAAAGCTAAGGACTGGAACCATTGTGACCAAAAATGAAGATACATTTAATAAAAATTGTTAAGTCAAGGAGAGAAGTTGATTTTTGTGAAGAAATATAATAAGCCTTAGCCAAGTAGCTCAGTTAGAGCATGGTCCTGACACAGCAAGGTTGCGGGTTAGATCCCCGGCCAAGGCACATACAAGAATCAACCAATGAATGTATAAATAAGTGGAACAACAAATTGATGTTTCTCTCTCTCTTTTCCTTTCTCTGTCTAAAATCCATCAGTAAAAAAAAAAAAATTTAAAGAAATATAGCAAGCTAATTCCTCTCCATCTTTCAACTAATCTTTCCCACCAATGTAGCAGCATTTTTGATATAATAGAATATGCTGTATAAATCATCTTTTTCTTGCAATGCCATTATATATCTTCATTCACAAACCATGCAGCATAATGAATAGCTAGGGATATTATTTTGTGTAATGTATTATACATCTAAATGCCTTATATAGTAATTTGGGGAAGGATGAGTATATGATAGAATTTTAAAAGTGTTCTTTCAGATTATCACAAAGAATATACAGAATTCAGTGGTCCATAGAAATGTAAATGTACATAGTAATGGAAATGTACAGGGTCCGGCAGAAGTAAGGCCTGCTTGAGTGTGGTTGGTAGGTTAATAATATGTGTGTAATAATTTATAGTTTTAATTTGAACATTTCACCTAAAATGTCATATGGTATGCTTGAGTGTGGTATTGTTATGTTATAGGAGGATTACATGCTTATTATTTTGTAATAAGAAAGGTGCATTATTTGTGCTGGACCCTGTACTTTAGATTTGGAAGATCCTATCTAAATTATCAATTATAAGTTTACTTATAAATGATACTTATCAAAAATTGTAATAATGGAAAATGAAATCAAATTAAGTTGGTGATAATGCCTCTGGACACCAGAAATGAGGAGGAAATAAGTAAGTGATGGAGTTTTTACTGCAGAAATGAAACATATGAACATATGATAACTCTAAACTTGTTCCATTCTCTTAATTACAGTAGTTGACCTGTGCTCCACTTCATCTGATTTCCTAATCTGCACTTTCTTGAGTGGGGAGTGAGAGAGGGAATGAAAACAAAGGCACTCCTTACAATTAGTAAGGAGAAAGCTTAGGGGGGAAAATCGAAGATTTGGAAATGTTAAAAAAAGCTTTAAAACAATAATTGTTATTTTAAAGCATGTAGGCAGTTGTGGTTCGTGTTTTCTTCTGATTTCTTCATAGCATCAGACAGCAGAAATGGTACTGCCAGTTGCATACTTCCGCATGAAGGATTTCGCAGTGTCAGATGACCTGCACTAAACAGGTTAAAAACCCTGTTTTCATGTATCATATTACTTTCACAATGAATAGTCTCCTTTTGCATTGAATTTTGAAGTGTTGTTTTTATTTGTTCCAAGTAATTATTTGGTTATATGTAATTATTTAACTGCCTTTTTTTTGAACCATGGACTTGGGAGGGCTAAAGATTTTCTGGTTCAGTATTTCTTTAAATACACCAGTCATCTGTGCTTATAAAGAAAGGACTCTGGCATCAATTATGTTGGGAAATTGCTAGGTTAAACACAGTTAAATAAGATTTTTATTTCAGTGGTGGTAGGGGAGGGTAGGGCATCTCAGAAACTTTAATAAGACAACTAAGAGAAAACAATACATAGTATATAGCATTTCACAAACTTAGAAGGGGGTGACCCCCCCCTCCAAAACAGACTTATCTTCTGGAGGGCAGGCACCTTATGATACAGGCTTCCCCTGCTAGGTGAGTGTTCTAGGAACCCATCTGTATCAGTACACCAACTGGTGTTGTTGTGAGAGGCTGTGTTCAGCTTCAGTGAATTTTTTTTTGAAGACTCTTTCAATGCATTTGCCCATTTCATGATGGGTGATTTACAAACAAACCTGCCCCATACTCCCTATTCACCAGATCTTGCCATGAGTGACTTTTTTTGTGTCTCCCTGGATGAAAAAAGTGCTCAAAGGGAAACTTTTTGCCAACGTGGAAGAGGTGAAACCAAAAATGGTAGAAGCACTGAAAGGCATCAAAATGAACGAGTTCAGAAACTGTTCTGAGTAGTGGAAAAAATTTCTCAATAGGTGTATTGCATCAAATGGAGAGTACTTTGAAGATGACTGAAGTTTAAACACATAAGAATAAATGTACAATTTTTTATAAATAAATCCCAGGTTTATTTGGTCTCCGTTCATGTTTGACTACAAAATGCTTTCTTAATAGAGCCTTTTTTGGAACCACTGTTCCTCAGAACACATGTGGGGAAATTCAAGTCCCTTAAATTGACAGATGAGTAGAAAAGAGATGAAATGACTCATTTAAAGCTGCATACCCATTTACTTAAAGAACTGAACTTGAACCAAGTTTTTCTACCATATTTTATTTTGCTCCCTTTGTCCTCGAATTCAAAAAAGTCTATTAATACTACCTAATGTTCCAAAATAAATCTGTAAAATATATTCAAGGGGCTTGGGGAAATAAACTAATGATTTAAAATTATTTTTAGTATATTTTTAATTGGCACATTTACTTTGACAAAGAGAGTAAGATCCAAAGAGGCAGCTCATATTTGTTACCAAGTTACACTTTGGTAATCAGGAAACTTTTTTGCAAAAATCAACAATCTTTCGTAGAGAGCAGAAGGAAAGCTAGTGGGGGGGGGTTGTTAAGGGGATGGAGGGATCGAACAAAAAGGAAAAAGGACTCATGGACATGGACAACAGTGTGGTGATTGCTGGAGGGAGAAGGGTATAAGGGGACTAAATGGTAATGGAAAAAATACAATAAAGATTAAATTTAAAAAGTAAAAAGAAAATATATGCCTACCCACAAATCAACAATCTTCAAGTTATAAAAATCTATTTCCTTTCAAATTATAAAAAGCTCACACAGTACAATCATGTGTATTGAGTGCAATCATGTGAAAGTGGGAAGGATTCCCACTTTCCCAGAAAATGACTGTTTATGATTTGTTGTCTGTTCTTCCAGACCCCATCTCTACATAACAAACATGTAACTTTTAAAAACTTCTTGACATAAATGACATTATGGTAAATACACTTTTCTTGAACCTTAATTTTTAAAATCAACAATGGTACATGTTTATCTTCCCAGATCTACATGTAGATCTTCTTTTAATACCTTGAAAATGTTATACTCTGTAGCTCGACTATAATTTATTCAGTTTACCAATGATGGACATTAGAATAGTTGCAATTTGTTTTACAAGACAGTGCTGTGGTAAATTTTGATATAGGGTTTTTTTGAACCTCTGTATATATCTGTAAGAGAGTCATTGAAGTGGAATTACTGTGTCAGAGAATATGAACATTGAAATTTTTGTAAGCATTGCCAAATTGTCTTTAAAACATAGTATTAGTTTACAATGACAGCATTGTAACAGGAAACTTTAAAATGGTATAACCTTCTCTGAACTTAAACAAACTAAAAAGGACCTTATACTTAGTAATGGAAAACAAAGAATATATTGTATGTTAATCTTAAAATGATAAGAGTTAATTTATAAAGCATTGATAATCATGATGTCTCTTTCTCTCCCCCTCTCTTCCCTGCTCTTTACAGAGCAAATTATTCATGGAAGGATTTAGAAGCCTAAAAGAAGGAGAACCAGTGGAATTCACATTTAAAAAATCTTCCAAAGGCCTTGAATCAATACGGGTAACAGGACCTGGTGGGACCCCCTGTTTAGGAAGTGAAAGAAGACCCAAAGGGAAGACACTACAAAAAAGAAAACCAAAGGGAGATAGGTAGGTAATCATTTAAATTTTTTAGTTTATGAGTTTATTGTATTTGGGAAAGACTTTTGAAAATGTATATTATTATGTTATCAGACCTTATATATAGTCTAGCAAAATTAAAATGCTACCACTCTGTAGCTGAATGGAATTTATCAGCAATATAGGCTACCTGGCAATTTGAACTGTCTGCGAAAACACTGAACTGAGGACTCAGTATTGAGCACTGAATAGGAATTGTCCTATTAGCATTTTCATGAGACTATTGTGAGACCACAAATAAGGTTGGAGTTTTCAACGGACAGCAATGCCTTTCTGTACATCCCCACGCATCACCTGATTTTTCAACTGAAAATGCACTTTTTAATAGATAACTCATATAGAAAATTCAAGTAATATAAATAAACTAAAGAAATATAAACAAACTAAAGAAGTTAGGAGAAAACCCACTTGAAATCCTAACTAGAGGTGGCAATCAAATTTTTATGCAATTTTTTCAAACTTGTGTTTCTTTTTTACTTAACAGTGTATCAAGGAACATTTCATGTCAATTATTAGCACCTGCCCAGATTCCCACCGTGGGAATGCTCTTAATTTAAGCATGGTTATGTTTATGGATAATTAGGTTATTTCTGGTCTTTTGAATTTATCAATGATACCGGAGTGAATCTTTATACGTACATTTTTGGAAAATGGGTCATTTGGAGTCTGGTTTATTTTTTGTTATTGGTTCGTATAATTCCCTTATATACAGGATCTGGCAGAAGTAATACCTACTTGAGTGTGGTTGGTAGGGTAGTGATATGGGTATAGTAATTTATTGTTTTAATTTGAATATTTCACCTAAAATGTCAGGTGGTGTGCTTAAGTGTGATATTGTTATGTTACAGAACTATATGCTTGTGATATTGTTATAAAAGAGTTTGTAATTAAAAAAGAGGCGTTGTTTGTGCCAGGCCCTGTATATGTTTAGTACTAACCCCTTATCAGATATATGATTTCAAATCAATTTGTTAATGGTTTACTTTGCTGTGCCAGAAGCTTTTCAGTTTGATATATTTCACTTAGTGGTTTTTTTTTCCTTTGGTGTGTTTGCTTCTGTGGTCAAATAAAAAAAAAAAAATCAATGCCAAAGCTGTGTCAAGGAGTTTACCTCTTATGTTTTCTTCTTGAAGTTTTATGGTTTTGGGTCTTACATTTAAGTCACTTATACATTCTGAGTTGGTATTTGTATATAGTGTAAGATAGTGGTTCAATTTCATTCTTTTGCTTGTGGCAGTCTAGTTTTCCAGCAAATTTATTGAAGAGACCAACCTTTCTCTATTATATATTTTTTGCTCCTTTGTTGTAAGTTAATTGACCATATGTGTGTGTGTTTATTTTTGATCTCTCTACTGTTCCACTGATCTGTGTATCTGTTTTATGCCAATACCATACTGTTTTAATTACTGTACTTCTGTAATACAGTTTGAAATCAGGAAGCATGATGCCTCCAGCTTTGTTTTCATCAAATTGCTTTGGATACCTGAAGTCTTTTGTGGTTCCATAAAAAATTTAGGATACTATTTTTGTGGAAAATGCCATTGGAATTTTGATAGTAATTGCATTGAATCCGTAGATCACTTTTGTGGTATGGACATTTTAACAATATTAATTCATCTAATCTATGAGCATGAAATATCTTTCCATTTATTTGTTTTTTCTTCAACTTTGTTCATCAGTGTCTCGGTATATACATTTTTTGCCTTTTTTTAAACAGTTGCTTTTGCAGTTTCACCTTTTTTAAAAAAATAGATTTTATTTATTTATTTTTAGAGAGGGGAGGGAGAAAGAGAGGGAAACATCAGTGTGAGGTTGCCTCTCAAGCGCCCCCTACTGGGAACCTGGCCAGCAACCCAGGTATGTGCCCTAGACTGGGAATGGAACCCTCAATCCTTTGGTTCCCAGGCGGGCACTCAGTCCACTGATCCACACCAGCCAGGGCTCAGTTTTTCACCCTTTTTTGTTAAATTTATTCCTAGGTATTATATTGTTTTTGATACATTTGTAAATGGGATTTTCTTAATTTCTCTCTCTGTTAGTTTGTGTTCGTGTATAGAAACCAACTGATTTTTAAGTATTAATTTTTGTATCCTCCAAATTTACTGAATTCATTTATTAGTTCTAACAGTTTTTATTGAGTCTTTGGAGGTTTCTGTATATAATATCATGTCATCTGCAAATAGAGACAATTTTACTTCTTCCTTTCCAGTTTAGATATCTTTTTTTTCTTTTTCCTATATAACTGGCCTAGCTAGGACTTCTAGTACAATGTTGAATAAAAGTGGTGAGAGTAGGCTTCTTTGTTTTGTTTCTGATCTCAGAGGAACAGCTAAAATCTCTTGTGTGAAGTGAGCTGTGGGCTTGTCATATATGATTCTCAGGTTGAGGCACATTCCCTCTGTACCCACTTTATTGAGAATTCTTATCATAAATTGATGTTGTCACAAGTATTTTTTGTATCTGTTGAGATGATTATATGGTTTTATCCTTCATTTTGTTAATGTGGTATATATCACATTAATTGATTTGCAGATGTTGAACCATCCTTGTATCTCTGGAATAAATCCCACTTGATCATGGTGTATGATGATCCTTTTATTGTATTGTTGAATTTAGTTTGCTAATATTTTGTTGAGGATTTTGCATTCCAGTTTGTCAGGGATATTGACCTTTAATTTTTTTCTTGTTATGTCCTTGCTGGTTTTGCTGTCAGGGTAACAAAACATTGGCTTCGTAAAGTGAATTTGGAAATGTTGCCTTGTCTTGTATTTTTTGGAAGACTTTGAGAGGATTGGTATTAATTCTTCACAGTTTTGGTAGAACTCACCAATGAAACCATGTGGTGCTGGACTTTGTTGAGACATTTTTGACTACTGATTCAATCTTATTAGTAATTGGTGATTTTCTATTCATGATAGGTTGATAAGTTGTATGTTTTTAGGAACTTGTCCATTTATTTTAGGTTGTCCGATTTGTTGGTATATAATTCTTCATAGTAGTTGTTACAATTCTTTGTATTTCTGTTGTGCCAGCTTCCTTGCTGTGTAATTTCCTTATTGTGTAATGTTTCCTTTAATTTCTAATTTTATTTATTCAGTTCCTTTCTTTTTCTTAGTAAGTCTAGTTAAAAGTTTGTCTATTTTGTATATCTTTTTACAGTACTAGTTTTTAGTTTCTTTGGTCTTGTCTATTGTCTTTTTAGTCAATTTCACTTCTTTCACCCTGATCTTTGTTATTTCCTTCCTTCTAGTAACTTTGGGCTTAGTATGTAGCCTTTTGAAAATGACTTTCTTCACTCAGCATAATGGCTTTGAAATTCATCAAAGCTGTTCAGTATATTAGTAGTTTATTCCTTTTTAATTGCTTAGTAGTATTCCATTATTTGGATATAAATGGATAATTTATCTGTTGAAGGGCAGGCATTTGGGCATTTGCAGTTAGGTGATTATAAATAGAGCTACCACAAACATTTGGGTACCACTTTTCATGCAACATAAGTCTTTATTCATCTCAGAGTAGGATTGATGGATAATATGGTCATAGGTATATATTTCACTTTATGAGAAGCTGCCAGCATTTTTTCCAGAGTGATTATACTGTTTTGAAGTCCCACCAACAATATATGAGATTTCTAACCTGCTATACATCATTGACAGCATTTGGTATTGACAGTATTTTTTTATTTTAACTATTCTAATAGGTAGATATCTTATCATGGCTTTAATTTTTATTTCCCTAATAGCTATCAATCTGAGCTTCTTTTTATGTTTTTGTGTCATCTTATTACTTCGATGAAGTGTCTGTTCATGCCTTTTGCCCATTACTGGATTATTTGGTTTCTTATTGTTGCATTTTGAGAGTTCTGTATATAATTATAGGTAGAAGTCCTATGTCAAATATATGATTTACAAGTTTTTTTAAAATTTGTGGCTTGTCTTTGCAATATCTGAAGCATCTCTCACAGGAGAGAAGTTTTAAATTTTGATAAAGACATTTATGAATTTTTTTTTAAGAGAGGGAGAGAAACATCAATGTATGGTTGCTTCTCATACACCCCATACTGGGAACCTGGCCTGTAACCCAGGCATGTGCTCTGACTGGGAACCGAACCAGTGACCCTTTGGTTCACAGGCTGGTGCTCAATCCACAGAGCCATACCAGCTGGAGCTATCAACATTTTATATATATATGTTGCTTTTTTAAAGAAATCTTTGCTTAACCCTAGATCACTGAAATTTTTCTCCCCATGTTTTCTTCTTGTAGTTTTATAGTTTTACATTTTACCTTTATATCTACAATCTAGTTAGAGTTTGCTTTTGTATATAAGGCATAAAGTTTTAGGTTGAAGTTCATTTTACTTTTGTCTGTGAATAGTGTGAATTGTTCAAATGCTATCTGTTGGAAAGAGTATCTTTTCTCTTGAAATACTTTTAAATGAGAAAGTCTAATCTGATTTCTGGTATTTTAAGTTCAGAAATTAAATACTTAAGTTTTTATTATATGCAACTAAAACATTTTACAAATTCAAAATTTGGTTCCATTGCTCAAGAGAACTTAGTTTTTCAATTCTACTATACATGCAATTCTTTTTTTTTTTAGTCTTTTTTTTAAGATTTTATCTATTTATTTTTAGAGAGGGAAGGGAAGGAGAAAGAGAGAGAGAGAAACATCAATGTGCGGTTGGTGGGGGCCATGGCCTGCAACCCAGGCATGTGCCCTGACTGGGAATCGAACCTGCAATGCTTTGGTTTGCAGCCCTCTCTGAATCCACTGAGCTACGCCAGCCAGGGCTACTATACATGCAACTCTAATACTTACATAATAGAACACATTTTGTGAAGATTTATGTCTTTGTGGCAAGAAATATAAAATAATTTTAAAGACTTTACCTTAATTTTGTGTAAACTGTTTACAAAAGTAAGTGGGATTATTTTTAACTCTGACTCAAAATGGTACTGAATTTAGTGTTC